TTCTGAATTGAATTAATAATTTTGTCAAGCTTCTGCATTAATTTTCCATCAGATGTCACTGCTGTTGTTTGCGGTGACTTCTATCGGAAACTACACATAATTTGTTTTCCTATAATTGTTCACAGAGGACAGCACAGTACAAAACATGTCTGATACCTCTATATATGCATTTAGATTAACATCCGAAGTCCCTCCCTTTTTACACATTCTGCACACAAAATATCTCACCCCTCAGAGAATTCCCCGCCAATTTTTATGTATTGGGCGGGGCAGAAAGTATATTTTGTGCAGAATATGAAAAAAGGATTGACTTCAAAAATGTTAAGCTATCTGCATAAATAGAGGTACCAGACATGTTTTGTAGTGACAGGTACTCTATTTTGTAATCTGTGAAAGGGAAATCACAAATCGAGTGTCATCAAAATACATGGCATGTTCAGAGATTGAGCTCGTGAGAGAGAATTTTCTATCTCAAATTTGATTTTTTGGCTCTCTAGGGACTGGTAGTAAAGCAGGTAAAACTGTATGGGGAAAAATCATTTTTATTTAATTGTAGCTTGTTTAACAATAATTTCCGGGAAAAAACTGAACGACAAAGTTCCTGACTAATTTCCTTAGGCTGTCGTTCATTTTTTTGACCTGAATATGCACCGAAAGCGAATTATTCCCACTTCTCTCAAATTCTATATGGGGATTTTTATCACTTCCTACCAGCTGAACAGCGCCATCTCTGTAGAAAATGGCCGGACGATATGATTAATTCCTAAGTTATTCTGAAGAGACTTGTATTTGAATCGTGTAGAAGATATCAGATGAATTTTAAGGAGTATTAAAAGAGATTTATTAACATACGAAGATTCAGAAAGGAACTGCAAGGGATTTCTAAAGATAGGGAAAATGTATGTAATGTCGGCCTAAGTGTCCCTAATTTGGGCCCATACATAAATTCAGCAATCGACTAAATTTTTAATAGCAACCAAAAATATACATTAGTACCGTCCCAATGACGCGTTCATCTAGATACAATTGATAAATAGCTAATTTTTAGTGATGGGCCCAATCTTAGATCCATAGGCCATTTCCCCTAGTTCAAAAAAATTAAGCATAATTAAATTAAATTAAATTCTTAGGAATGTTTCAGGAAAATGCAAACGGTAATTTCAAGGGATTTCTGATAATAATCCCATACAATTGTGGAGAAGTGTTTTTAGATTTAATTTAATTGAGAAGAAATTCAAAGGGATTTAATAATTGAAACATGTAGTTGCAATGGAATTTTCGGAAGATTTCAAGGTAATTCTTAGGTGAATTAGGAATTCTAAAGAAAATTCCAAAGTAATTATGAGGAGAGTAGCTAGGGAATTTACTGGTAAGTTTAAGAGGGAAGCGGACGTCATTAAGTTAATGGAAATTCACAAGCATTTTTTTGGTTTAAAACCAAAATTCTGTCAATGAAAATTTTCATGAACGTAATTCTGGTTTTGTGCTTTTGAAAATTAATTACATCCCCTTTCACTTTAAGGATAATTTCATGGTAATTCTGAACCATTTTAGAGCAACACGAAAAAACATAAACCATCATTTTGTCATTTCAACTATATATCCTACAACTGGGCTCTACGGATGCCAACATTTAGCCAGGTAATGTATCTTTAAGTTTCTAGAACATCAAGATCTGAACTCCAGGATGATTTGGGGAATCTTAGATATTTTGTTATCACAAATATATACCTGCCCTGATGTAATGAGCTCTTACAAAGCTCTCTGGAGTCGTACATATTGTCGACATATCGAGAAACACTTTATTTAGCATGTAGAACTTAAAGATCAATTCTTCGGGATGGTTTGAAGATCTAATTGTGCCACATATTTGCTGTAGTTTTTTCCCTCTGTTTGGAACCTAACACCACTGCGACCAGTAATTTGATCTATTGTAGGGATCAAGGGATATGTCCTTAGTTTAGTGCATGTCGTATTACTCCATCACTATTGAGAAATGATGAAGTATTCGGTTTAGATACAGTTGTCATCCTTGCCTTCATCGCAAGGAATCGATTCTAATTGAAAGGTCCCGCTATGTATACCCTTCGGAATGTTGAAACACCCTCCAAAGGCGTGCCCCTTTGTCAGTCAAAATTGAATTCCTTTGCAACAAAATTAAGGAATGACACCGATAATGACCATGCATCAAAACCCTAGTCTTAACCACTTCAAACTATGGAACAACGAATAGAAGATTAGGAATCACATAGGTGAACTCATTTATTCCTTGTTTCAAGATCATTTTCGGTGAACAAAGAAAAGTTTCATCACTATCAACAAGGCATGAAAAGTAACAAGGACTAAGATGTGTTCCTTTGATTACTGAAAGATCCTGCTCCCCTACTTTGAAGTAGTCAAGACTAGGAATCGCTGGTAGATCTTACATCCCGTAACGTACCACGAAAAGGTGATCTACCCGCGTTACGGGGCATTTGCTGTTGTTGATTTCATCAAGGATTTTTGAAAACATATCTTTGCTTAACATCTCTTTTGAGTCTCTGTTGATATTTTAAAAATAGAGGTCTAAACTTCAGAATAATTTGGATGTCCTAATATTATAGCTAAATTCTAATAAAAAGCGCTAAAAGTTCCTTAAAATATGCCTTAGAAAATATTGGAACTCGGACAATTAAACTTGCTGAAAAGGGCATTCTCTTTCGATATCCGATAGCTTGCTTCCATCTCAGCAGCATTCGCATCCAGCACCTTGAAGAAAATGTAAATTTCTCTCAATGATGGTCTCGCACTTCCATTTTGGCAGTCAAAAAACGTACGTATCATCAAATTTAATTTGCTTCACCGACCGACCGACGAACTGCATGTAATGAAAAAATCACTCGGGATAATAGCCTTTAGCGGCAATATCAGCGCGTGATATTTCACCATGTTATTGAAACCAGCATTTGAAACGCCAAAATTCAAGTGTGAACTGCTAAAATTACGTGGCTCGATTTTGAACTCTACGAGATCTGGAACGTTATGTTGAGTTTATTGTAATAAGGTAGGTTATATATTTTTTTCAATTATTACTAAATATGAGGGGGAATTATTTCGAGTCAGCTTCACTTTTTCATGTGTATTCGAAAAAAAATGCTTTCTTCGACCTTTTAAAAATAGTGTTAGAAGTTGGACTTGCTCATATTATGAGATCTTCATATTATGCTCATGAAGATCGTGAACCATGAAAAATAGACCAGGGCCCCCAAAGGTAGTAAAGAGGGCCCTGGGGCTTAATCACGGAATCATTTGAATTTCTTGATCTAAGTTTTCTAGATATTTCTAGATAACCTTAAGTTTAGATATTTCCGAAAGCCAAAACTTGGGACCAATGGCCTAAATATTGCATCTATTCATCTGAGTCCTCAAGTCGTCGGAGTTTCAAGAGTCCCGCTACTTGTGTCCACTTTCTTCAGAACTTGTTGTTATGCTCGTAAAGTTTTTGATGTTCTATGTTACACACGTATGTGCCAATCACTGACACCAGTGAGGTGACTCCAGAAATGGCATCTACATATCGAACCCATCAAAACCAAGGTTGCAAAATCTCATTTCAGCTAAAACAATGTTTTTTTTTTAATTATGAAATAATTAGATGCCATGATCATATTTTGAATTGGTAGGATACAAGAAGAGGCTGCAAAGAATGTGTTTGACATATTAAATCTGTTTATTTCACTTCATGAGAGTCTCAATCAGCGATTTTTCACACACTCGCTAACTCACTCACTCACTCACTCAGCGATCAGCAAATCGCTGATTGTGACTCATAGAAAGTAAAATTTACAGGTTTTATGTTTCAAACGCATACTTTGTAACCTCTTCTTTTAAGTTACAAGTAAAACATGCCATCATACCATGTTTTGGTTTTATTATTCCGAAAAACATTATTTTAGCTGAAATGAGTATTTGCAACCTTGATCAAAACATGGGCTGGTACCAACGGTCTTGGCTGGTATTGAACCCAGGCCCACTAGAGCTTATGAAGTTTGCTAGGCTTTCCTTGGGAATTCTTCGGGCTTGTAATGAAAATTTAGTGGAATTGTTCCATACTTTTACCTGATTATCTCTGAATCTGGTTCTCTAGTCTTACGCTCGGAGTTCTTTGGTATGTTGAGGAAGTTCATTTGACTATCATAGAAATTTGCTCAACCTACTCAAGTTTTCGTTTTGGACTAGAGATAAACGAGAAACGTGTTGTCAAAAACGGAACAATTTGAATAGAGACCATGAATGCTGTAAAATCAATAAATTGGAAACACACAGGACTTCGATTTGGGATGTAGAATTTTTTAATGTCATCTTGAATTTTGAAGCTAAAATGTGATCAATTATGGTAATTTCCAAGATGGACGAGATAATTTCCCATTCTAAAAGATCTTCAACCACATCGAGACTCAGGACGATCGTTTCTAGTGTGATGTACTTTATAATCGATCGCTTTACATTTTTTTGATTTTGAGGACCCCACTTTAAATGCCAGGAAGAATGAAAACGATTTTGCCCTCATCCAGGATAGGTACAACATTTTCAATACAAACTGATTTGATTGATTTTTTCTGCTATTTCGAGACAATTTGCATGCGATTTGGTTCAAAATTCAGATCACACGATCAAAACTAGAGACGAATTAAAATCGCGTAAAAACAGAATTGAGTGTATAATTGTTTCAATTCCATAATCTCAGTTCAAACCATAATAATCGAAGTTCTGCAACTGCGGGACTTCTATTCAGCTTCACTTTTCAACAGAAACCAGTGGAAAAGAGTCGAAAGACTTGATAGTAATTCCAACTTAGTCCAATCTTAATGATCACAGTCCCAACGAACTGAATAAGAATCCTCCCCCTACAGTTCAAGTCGGTTTCGACAGATTCACCGAAACGTTACTACGCCAACCGCAAGCACTAATGATCACGAGATGTTTCATTTATGTGTTTTTATTTCTTTTCCCATTTCCAGCGAGCATAGACAACGGCCGGCGGAAGGCAGGCAGCAGAAGAGGGATTGCTGCACCGTGCACTAATCCACCAAGTTCGTCTGCTGATTCGTGTCGCCCCAAGCCGGAGGGCGGATAGCTTGCACTCAGCAGTCTGTAGGTAACGCTACAAGCAGCAACAGCATCAGCAGAGCTCTAAACTGAGAATGTTCAATTATAGACAATGTGTGACTGGCAGTCAACGGCAGCAACGCCGACAGTAGAAGCAGTGCTCGAAATCCATCCGCAGAAGTAGGAGGATTGCTGGAGGTCTGGATTCCTAGTGTACTTGGACCGAAATCGGATGTATGGAATTGGAAGTGCGAAAAAAAAGAAGAAAGAACAAAGTTGGCGAGTTGTCAAAATACAGTGCTTGTGGGATTTCTCTGCATTATTTATTATTTATGTTTTGAGAGTGTTTTGAAAGTGTAGCACCAGCAGTTTTGCTTATGTTGGAGTACCAACTAGTTTAGAGTGAAAATTGGATCGAATGAAGTGTGCAAAAAAATTGATTAGTGGCGCGATTTGAAGTGATTCAAGTGCGAAGAGTGTGTTGAACGTGATTTGAATTTTTCATTAGTCCAATCGAGAATGGTGCTTCCCGTCTATTTGCATTGAGCAAAGTGGGGCGATAAATTTCGGATCGTATTCTTGAAGACGAGATTTTCCGGTGTGTGTGGTGGTGAGTGCTTTTAGGGCCCTGCCTAGATAGATTGTCTTGAATCAGTGCCAAATCCTAGTGGAAACAAAGTTGCAGTGCACCACAACGAGCAGATCAGATCAGCAGCGCATCCGGTAGACCGCGGACGACGGAGTACAAGGGGGGCAGGCTTCTATCCGGAGTCCTCGTGCGGAATATGGATAGAAGTGTAGATTCTATTGGTAGTTGTTCACTCGATGTAGATGCCGATTCGACGGACTTTTCAGGTGAGTGTGGGTATGGAGCATGGTGAATTTTGGTTATCTGTTATTTATTTTGGCAGCTTGCGAAGTATTTTTTTGCTGGCAGATTGCATTGGACTAATTGCCTTCAGCATTTATAGTAGGGCTAGCTGGAGAAAATAGTTCTGAAAGTAGGTTGAAAAACGGCTTCGGCCCCCCATACACCCTATTCAAAGCATGGGGTAAACAATAGCTTACAACGCTAATTTTTTGCAGCAAGCTTGCAAATGCTCATTACAACTAAAATGGTATTTTTCGGATTTATGAAGCTATGAGATATTTCAATGATAATTCTTATTTACAAGATGCATGAAAAGTAGGTAAAGTGTGTGTATGACACATAAAACCTGTCAATTTAGCTTTCAGAGGGTCACAATAGCGATTAGCTGTAACGATGATCAACGCGATGAGCGAGCAATCAGCGATCATAAAATCGCTAATTGTGACCTTCTGAAAGCAAAATTGTCAAAATTTTTATGTCATACACAAACTTTACCACCTCGTCTTGCTTCTTACAAATAAAAAATATCATTATAGTATCCCATAGTTTCATAATTACGAAAACTAGCATTTTAGCTGTAATGAGCAATTGCTTCACATCATAGAGCATATTTTGAATAGATTTCTGATTAATTTTCTTTAGAAAAAAGTAGAAGGGTCTGTGTCTAGAGGCACGAACGGAAGCTTTACGTAGGACCGCTATTGGACGGAACAAATCAAGCCAAACATTACATTAGGTCCTAAGTAACATTGATCGATTCTCTTCATCGACTTTCTCTTTCGTTTATAACTTGAGCACATAACCGTTTCTTGATCTGGTTGACGTATTAAATGCTACATAAAAGCTTCTTTTATCGATCTGTGAGCTGAAAATAAGTGGGAATATCTTTACACGGCCTTGGGGATGCAAAGATAAAGTCGACGAAGAGAATCTGTCAATGTTACTTAGGACCTAATGCAATGTTCAGCTTGAAATATGTTGAGCATTTAGTTCTTTTAATTGATCAATAATCTATTAACTTAACTCCTTCCGTTTTTGAATTGGTGGCCCTGAAAAGGGCCGGTTGTTTTTCGAATGGTGGCCCTGAGAGGGCCCGTTATTTGTTTTTTTTATCTGGTGTCCTTTTGATCGTTTGGGACGGCTACCATGTTTTTTTTTTGTTTTTTTATTATAGTCACTTTAACGCTCTTGGGTCATTCGTGACTTGTCCGGGGTGAGATTTGAACTCGTGACTTTGGCGTGAGAGGTATGGATGCTAACCACTACGCCAGGGTCGCCCCCTCCCCGGCTACCATGTAGCTGATGAACAAATATTGATTATTGATACCTGTAATTTTGAAAGTTTGTGACAAAATTCTCAATTGTGATATTACTACTTACCTGTATCAGTAAGTATAAGCCGAAAGTAAGAGAAATAGGTTATGAATACTGTACATCTAAAAAATGTAGCGCAAAGGCCGCGAGTGATCGGAACAAACGTGTTTGCTCTTATTTTTTTTAATTATTCTAAAATCTATTATCTTAACTCCTTCTGTATTTGAATGGAGAACTAACACGAAATGCATAAACGTGCTACCAATTGACGTCTGCGGGAAGGTTTAGAGCTGGATGATTTACGCAAGTTTACTCAATGATCCAAAGTTGATAGTGATTTTCCGAACACTGCTATTGGCACTGATTGATGATTCTTTGCTGTTATTTCTCTCCATGGTTCAAAAATATTTCAATTTTGTGAACCTGTTTTACCCACCATCTAGAGATCTTAAAAGAAATTCTATAGCGTAGAAATATAGTGGCCCTGAAGAAGGCCATTTGAGATCCAAGAGATTGACATGCTGGTACTTTCGGGTTGACCTGCTTACACCATTGAACAGCGGTTGAAATTTTTTCAGGTGATCAATGTTGTAGTCAGCCTAACGGAACGACTGCAGTGGAACGTCCAAAAGATAGTGAAGCTACGCAGAGAGCCTCCGATGTCCGCGTCCTTCAGGGTCCTACCAAATTTGTTGTGGCCATATCCGTCGCAAATGAAACTGCCATTTTGGGTCGAAGCGAACAAACTGGTGTACTTAGGTATCTTCAGAGACAGCGTGCTCAGTTGGCTTTCCTGGCAGCATCATTACACAGGTGCCGCTGGTATTGCTTCTCATTCCGATGTCCACGTACACTTCCTGGGTCTTTCAAATTAAGTTGTGACGACTGGCATCACAGCTAATGGAATTGCAACTGATCACGTTCACTGAATTACAGTCTGTTCACATTTGCAGAATAGCTAATTAGGTCTCTCCTTTTTGGAGTATTTTTCGTCAGAGCGTTCCTAGTTGCAAGTATATGGCAGCATTCACACCAGACCAAGACGTGCTCCGACCAGCATTGAATTGGATTGTTATGAAAGAACAACTAGCACTACTTAACTCTTTCACACCAGTGCCTACAGGATGACTGCGACCCAGTAATGCTGCCTATTGCGGGAAGCCTTTCCTCCGGTCGATGTGGGTGCATTCGTCGTCGTCTTCGTATTGGTGCGATGCGTGCTGTTCCACTCTTACGTCATGCCCGATCTGTTCGTTGCTCGAAAGTAAATGACAAAAAAAAAATTGGCAATCGTTTTTATAACCGCTGCTTTTCTCCTCCCTTCCATTCATTGGTGAAATTGTGAGCGGTCAACCGAGCGGTGAGCTCGCTCATCTGAGCATGGGCAATGTGTCGTGTGTTCGATTTGCGCTCTATCGTTACGTCCGTGTTTGGGATTTTTCGGTACATGTCTGAATTTTGATTTTTCAATGTGACCCCCAGTATGGAAATTAAAGACGTAGACCTACGTCAAAACCCCTTGCTTAGCCGTTATCCACTCTACTTTCAGAACTATTTTGCGATATAGCATCCAGGAAAAATGTACAAGAGAGTCATAAACTGCACACATTATGGTTAAACCAATATTGTCTCCTGCTAGTCTTTCTGTAAATGCTGAAGGTAATTAGTCAAATTCAAGCTGCCAGCAAGCCCCCAGCAAAAAAACCCCAGCCTAGTTTTTGGTCTAAAGAAGATAAAACTATATAGAAAGTATGTTTTTTTTTCTATAATTTCCCTTCTATAATAAATCGCTTGAAATGTTTGTTGAAATTTCTCCAAAACACTTTTATCAAAAAAAGTAGACAAATAGCGGAAATGGATGTAATGCAGGCATGATTGCCCCTTAGTTGGGCCCATACATAAATATAGCAATCGACTAAATTTTTAATAGCGACCAAAAATATCCATAAGTATCGTCCCAACGCGTTCATCTAGATAAAATTCATAAATAGTTGACTTTTAGCGATTGACCCAATCTTAGATTCATAGGCCAACATTAGAGCCATTTCCCCTATGTCGAGGATTATTGCTCTGAAGACATCAATATAATTTTTCGCAGAAATTTTTAAGAGTACATGGGTTTTACTTATACAAACGTAAAAGATTGATAACTTTTTGCACAGAAGTCGACTCGATTTGCTGTCTTGGACAAAGTAGTTCTGCATAGTTTGTACAATCAATCTTAGTCTCAGGCTAAATGGGCAAAATTGAGCAATGCATGAATTTTTGACAATAAAATTATGGGGTTAGAAGGAAAGGGGTGTAAGTGACTTTGATCGATTTCCTTCATCGACTTTCTCTTTCGTTAATAATTCAGCTGCAAACACATCCCTTGATTCGTGTGCCATTCTGGATGCTAGATGAAAACCTCCTTTATCAAACTATGTGGCAGAAATAGTGCAAAATCTGTTTATAAAGCTGTGGCTATCAAAAGAGAAAATTGATGACGAGAATCGATCAAAGTCACTAACACTTCTTTCCTTCTAACCCCCTCAAATTAAATTTTTTCCGATACTATCTTTAATGTTCTCCCACAAATCATAAACAAATTCTTTCAAATATGATACAGTTTTTGGAGGAATCAATGCAACCGTTCCCTACCAGTTGCAAGGACGTGGCCAGGACAATCCTCAACTGTTGGAGAGGGATATGTCTTTATCTGGGAGATAGTAATTATTACCTATTTACTATCTGTCCAGTAATAGATATCCGCCTTGCTCTTAATAGTTTTGATTTCGTAGCACCTACGATATTGTGCAACTTGATCGATGCTAATGCTAATTCTAATGCTAATCAATACAACTAGAATGGGCAGTGGGTAGTAAGGGGATGTGATCCGCCACACAAACTTGACCGGCGCTAGTGTCCATAGTTCCGGGTGTAGGTCTTCTAAATATTCCTTCTTTCTTAGCTCCTCTAATAGAAAAGGTGCTAAAAGAGGGGCTTTATTCTAAAAGTTCTGAAAAAAAAGCAAAAGAAAATGGGGTGCACAATTCTCCACCTATTTTTAGCGAAATTTTGCAATTGATCCTTCCAATCAATTCTCCCATTCAGTCCGATTGCGTTCGGTCTAGTGATCCTAAAAATGACTCATCTACTTTTTGTATCTTCTATCAAAGACAACATATCAAGAAGACCGCCAGTCTTCTCTTCTTTTTTCTCATACGCCCGGTATAAGACAGGCAGCATTGCGTTATTTACAGCCCCCAATGGGGTAAATTCTACGAACGAATCCATAGAATCTAACCTTAGAAGAGAGGTTTACGTAGCTCTTAGCTCAAAGCGCAGCGCTACTGTATTTATCTCTTGGATTCTGGCAAAGTTGCCAGTCTTGTCGATATGATGTATTCGCTTTCTTATAATCACTCCACACACTGGGCTGATTCTTATTCAAGTATTATTAGCTGACCCTTAATTGTGGGGTGACTTTACAACGTTAAACTTTAAAAATGATTCCTGTAGTTTAGATACTGGGGCCTCATAGCCTAGTCAGTAAAGGCACGGTATTACCAAGCCGGAGGAGGTGGGTTCGATTCCCGGTCCGGTCGAGGGAATCTTTCGAGTTGGAAATTTGCTCAACTTCCCTGGGCATAGAGTATAATTGCAATAAGCTTGAAATGCGAACAACAAG